AGAGCAGCATATTTCGCCCGTAAATGAGGTATTCAGAAAAATAAACGAATGCGAATTTTTCATGGGCAAAATTAAATATTTGGACCAAATCATCGATGAAAACGGTAGAAAATATATTCACCCAGATTAAGTCCGATTAAGAATATGCCCTCCCCCAACAAATAATGCAAGCATGTTTGGGTTTCGCAAATTACAATAATGTTTTTATTCCGAAAATACATTTTTTGCGAGCAACATTAAAAAATATACTAAAGATAGTAGAATTGTATAGCCGAATGCCAAAAAGCATTCGTAAAATTAAAGATTCGAACGTTGCAAAAAAAAAAAAAAAACCTAACATCAAATGGAGGAATGTGCTTTTTCATCTTTGAATACGATAAACAAGGAATTATATCGTTTATTATAGTGATTAATCCTCACTCATCGTCCACGTTAAAAAGAAAAAAAATAACAATATCCGTGTATGTGCCGATATATCAAGATGCTGAATGTTTGCCTACAAGCTTCTTATTACTCACTGCCAAGCCCAGAAGAAAGTACTCTCTAAAATTGGCCTTGTCAGACGCATCTTTGCAAATCCACATTAACAAAGAATGTTCAAAACTGTTAACAATCAATATCCACAAGGGATTTTACAAGTTTAACAGATTACCATTCGAAAGTAAAGTAACGCCTGGAATTTTTCAGCAAATAATTGAAAAATGTTGAACCATCTAAACTCCGCTTACTGAGATGAGATTTTAATAAAAAGTGAAACGCAGGAGCAGGATATTCGGCCCGTAAATGAGGTTTTCAGAAAAATAAACGAATACAGGTTTAAACTGAGTGATAAAAAAGGCGAATTTTTCAAAACGGAAAATAGAAATTTGGGCCAAAACATCGACGAAAACGGTATGAAACCACATCCAACCAGATCAAGTGCGCTTAAAAATAAGCCCTCCACAAAAATCACTATTAGATTTTTAGATTACGAAAATTATCTTTTTATTCCAAACATGCATTTCTTGCGAGTACCATTAAATAATTTACTAAACATAGTGGACTTGTATGGCCGAATGCCAAAAAGCAAAAAAAATTAAAGATCCGAAATTTTGTTACTCTATGTTTTTTGATCCAAAATTCGAAATAATCGTGGGGAGCGACCATAGTAATTACGGCATCGGTACCATAATTTTGGATAAGCACAAAGATGGTTTTGTGAAAGCTACAGTACTTGGTCAAGAATAATATTATCAACTGGGAAGAATTATAGCCACATAGAGAAAGAGTCGTTGGGAATAATGTTTGCTACCCGCGTCCTGGGTACGACGATAAATTACACCCGCGTCCTGGGTACGACGATAAAATACAACCCAGTCCTGGGTATGACGATAAAATATACCCACGTCCTGGGTATGACGATAAAATACGCCTGCGCCCTGGGTATGATGATAAAATACACCTGCGTCCTGGATATGACGATAAAATATACCCGCGTCCTGGATATGGGGATAAAATACGCCTGCGTCCGGGGTATAAGGATAAAATACACCCGCGTCCTGGGTATGACGATAAAATACAACCCAGTCCTGGGTATGACGATAAAATATACCCACGTCCTGGGTATGACGATAAAATACGCCTACGCCCTGGGTATGATGATAAAATACACCTGCGTCCTGGGTATGACGATAAAATATACCCGCGTCCTGGATATGAGGATAAAATACGCCTGCGTCCGGGGTATAAGGATAAAATACACCCGCGTCCTGGGTATGACGATAAAATATACCCGCGTCCTGGGTATGACGCTAAACTAAACCCGCGTCCTGGGTATGACTATAAAATACACCTGCGTCCTGGGTATGACAATAAAATACACCCGCGTCCTGGGTATGAGGATAAACTACACTCGCGTCCTGGGTTGACAATAAAATACATCCGCGTCATGGGTATGACGATTAAATACACCCACTTCCTGGGTATGACGATAAACTACAACCGTGTACTTGGTATGACGATAAACTACACCCGTGTTTTGTGTATGACGATAAACTACATCCGTGTTTTGTGTATGACGATAAACTACATCCGTGTCCTGGGTATGACGATAAACTATGTCCAACAGCAAGGACTCCGATAATACGTTTTTGAAAAAATAATATTCCCAGCTATACGTTTTTATAAAATATTACGAGCTATACATTTTTGAGATAAAAAATATTAACAGAAATAGATTTTTGACAAAACAAAAATATTATCAGGAAAAAAAAATGTCGACTTTAAATCACACATTGAGGTTGATATGCCGTAAAACAAACCAAACCAAATCAACACGATCAAAGATGATGAACAGAACATTTCGTTGACTCGTTGAAAAGGGCATTAGAAAAACCAATGGAGGTGAAAGTAAGGATATGTTATTACAGTTTTTCTGTGTATCAAGTATGTCCCAGGCTGAACTAATGTTCGCACAGAAAATAACATCGTTGTTTGACAAATTACTGCAGTACAAAAAGATTGAAAAGAAAAAAATATATATCCGGTTCCCAGAAATAATTCAAATCAGGCAACAAATTATTTATTTTTTTTCGAACATTTTTTCGAAAAATTGAAAGGAACGCTGGGAAGATGGTGTAGCCGATAGACGTATCGGAAAGTTATTTTAAATGATAAAAGGGTTTTATGGATGTATAAAATCATTTAAATCAAATCAAAGACAGCATCGAAGATGGGAGCAGATGGTGATCCTGTATGATGTTTTTGATCTATCTATACCCCAGGTTGCTGCAATAAAAGAAAGAGACAATCTACAAAAGTGTTGGATTTTAATCAAAAAGAAAAAAAAATGATAACTACCAAAAGAAGTATGTCTCAAAAGGGGAGGTATTGTGGTAAGAGCCAGTTAACCTCTTCACTATCATGGCCCATTCATGATAAGTAGTCCTGGGTAATTGTCTAGGAAAGAAGATAAAACTATTGCAGTGACATGTCTAGATATGCGTTGAATACTACTATCACGAATGACTCTGATGAGTTAAGTGTTGTGACATGCAGACCCCAACAATAACAATAAGTTATATGCGAACAGTTTTTTCTCTCGAACTTCTCGCTTGTGTAACTTTTTGTCGCCTTCTTGCTCCCCACTGAACTTTATTCTTTAATTTGGATAAAAATGATTGCTTTTTAGATCAACGTGAACCTTCACAATTTTATTTGAGCTAGCATAAGCTAAATGCTTAAATTATGTTTCATTCTGAACTTTGATATCCCTCTTTTAATTGACGCTATAGAATCACATGCAAATAAGTGTATCAGATGAAAAACGAAATTCATTATTTGACGACTTTCAACAGCAACTAAAATGGATGGCATATGTAAAGCGATGATAAGATAAAGTTATAGTCAAGACCGTTTCAAAGTATAAAAAGCATAAAGATAAGAAGGAAACCCCATCAATACTGGAAAATGCAATGAAATTTTCAGAAAACATTTTAACGAAAAATCGTTTTAATAGAAATAATTTTTAAAAGTCAATCGATAGTAGCACTGGCTGCTCGGTCAATGAATGCCGAATGTTTCATTATAAGGAAATGGCTAATATTACCATTAGAGATGAGGAGAACAGATACTATACTTTGATCCCAGCCCAATGGCCAGGGGTGAAGAAAAAGCGTAAAGAGTAGCACTGGCTGCTCAGTCAATGGATGAATGTTTCCGAATGCTAATATTACCATTAGAGATGGGGAGAACAGATTACACTTTAGCCCGATGGCCGGGGAGAAGGAGCACTGGCTGCTCGGTCAATGGATAATGTTTTCATTATTACGGCTATTAGAGATAGAGATGGGGAGAACAGATACTACACTTTGATCCCATCCCGATGGCCAGGGAGTGAAGAAAAGCGTAAAGTGTAGCACTGGCTGCTCGGTCAATGAATGCCGAATGATTCATTATAAGAAAAGGAAACGGAGGAGAACAGATACTACTTTGATCCCAGAGATGGAGGGGGGAAGAACATAAAGTGTAGCACTGGCTGCTCGGTCAATGGATGCCGAATGTTTCATTATAAGGAAACGGCTAATATTACCGTAGAAGAGAACAGATACTACACTTTGATCCCAGCCCGATGGCCAGGGGGTGAAGAAAAAAGCGTAAAAGAGTAGCACTGGCTGCTCGGTCAATGAATGCCGAATGATTCATTATAAGGAAACGGCTAATATTACTATTAGAGATGAGGAGAACAGATACTACACTTTGATCCCATCCCGATGGCCAGGGAGTGAAGAAAAGCGTAAAGAGTAGCACTGGCTGCTCGGTCAATGAATAAGGAAACGGTTAATAATATATTTATCTCTTACTGGCAGTCATGCATTCGATGTTCTTGTATTTAGGTAGAATGAGTTAAGAGCTTCTCGAAGAAAAACGAAATTGATCCTATCTCTTAGATAACAAGAGAATGGTGATTGTGACGATGAGGGAATTCAAACATGACTAAATATGCACTCTGCTATTTTTGGTATTCTCTGAATAAAAGTCTGTTCTTGGACGTACAGCTGCAAGGAATTCATTTTGAAGGAGGTGAAATATATTCCAGAGAGGTTGAGAGAGAAAAAGAACCATGTTTAATAAAAAGACGTTAAATACCATCAATAGGGAATCAGCGAGAATATGAAGAAACACGTGGAGTCAGACATATACAACGAGGGATTCGGGGTCAAAATGGGAAGCAAAGGCGAATGACATACAGAAGGAGGTTAAAGATGGGAGAAAGAAAAGTGAAAGGAATGAAAGTGGGAAATGAATTTGAAAGAAAAAAGAAAGAATTTCTTTCTTTCTTTTTTTAGAAGAAGAAAGAAAGTAGAATCGAAATACTTGTGTGAAAAAAAAGGAAAAAAAAACAACGAACGAAATAGATGAGAAGTAAAAAAAAGAACGAACACAAATGAAAGTTAAATGAAAAACAAAAGAAACATAGAAAGAAGAATGAAAGATTACTGAAGAGAATGAAAGAAAGATAATTACGAAGAAGAATAAATAAAAGTGAAAGAAAGAAAATAAAGAGAAATGATAAAAATACGAAGAAAGAAAGACAGAAAAACAGAGCGAGCGAAATTATAGTATATTATGAAAAATGAAATCGAAAGAAAACTTGAGAAAAATTTGTGTGAAAGAAAAATGGAGAAGAAAATCATTAGAATAAAATGTAAAAAAAAATAAAAGATGTGAAGGAAAAATGACAAAAGAAAAAGACAAAGAGGGAATGAAATACGCAGGAAAAACGAAATATCACAGACAGAAGGAAAGAAGAAAATGAAGGAAAAAAGAAGGATTAAAACATTCAAACAAAAAAGAATGAAAGAAGCGTTATGTATGCATGGTTGGCCACTCGTATTCGGGGATACCCGGCCACTAGGGCGGATAGCACATCCCTATTTCAGACGCTGGCTAAGGCGCATTCATGTTTATTCAAAACCCACAGGGCCCACCTGTGATTTATAGAGCAAGTATGCTCAGCAGACCTTAGTTATAGTTTCTGGGAAGGAGCGTGTTATATATCGTGATCAACAATGTGAACAAGGCCAGCACGCTTAAGCCCTCGGTACACGCCTACCCAATTTCATTCACAAGGCTTGGGTCAACTTGTAGTATGGTTTTCAGGAACTTTCCAAAGGTGCCGAACGCTGGGATCGACCCATTCAGTAGAATAACATCTGACCAAATGTAAGATTCGAACCTGGGTCTCATGGTCAGAATACGAATGTTCTAACCACGTGCCCACAAAATTGTTGTAGAGTAGTTTTCACAGTGGAGGCTTTCACTAAGTCGGTCCTAAAAAATAAGGTTCGACGTACAAAAACTAAGGAACTTGAAATAATGGTTAATGACGCAGCAATCTAGTTGTGGTGGCTGATACTTCAATGTCCGACATCGACTGACTCACTCAACTCCACTGAGCCCTCTGGCGACTGCTACTACTACTACTTATTATATCTGGGAGAGTCTATTTACAATAGATTAGGTATGTTCCGGTATAACAAAAATAAAGGAAAGATAGAATTAAAAAAATTACAGAATGAAACAAATGAAATAAAAACGAAATAAATAAATAAGGAAATAAAGAAAGAAACGCGAAACTATTAAAATGAAAGAAATCAAATGCAGACGATACGAAAAAAGCTCCAATTAGCAGACGAAAGGAAAGAAACGGTGAAAGGAACGAAACAAATTTTGAAACAAAAACAAAAATCTTGAGAAAAAAAATGCGAATGAAAAAAAGAAAATCATTAGAATAAAATGTAAAAAAAAAAAAGTCGTGGAGGAAAATATAACAAAAGAAAGGGACAAACAGAGAAAGAATGAAAGAGAAAAATCATTGAAAGAAAAATAGAACAAAATGAAGAGACAAAAAAAGGATAGAAACATTCAAACAAAAAAGAAGAATGAAAGAAGAAACAAAATAGACAAAAATGAAGGAAATATACAATGAAAAGAAAATCGCACAATGAAACAAATGAAATAAAGAACAAAATAAATAAATAAGAAGAAAACGAAGGCAACTAGAAACTATAAACAAATGAAAGAAATCAAAAGCAGACGATACAAAAAAGGCGCAAAATAACAAAACAAGCCACGTTCCCATAAAATGAAGGAAAGATAGAATAAAAAGAAAATCACAGAATGAAACATATAAAATAAAGAACGAAATAAATAAATAAGGAGATAAAGCTTTCCCAATTGTTCAATTTTTTCCAGCTTCTTAATAATATGTCAGTATTAAATTATTTTAGTATCTGTCTATATTTCTGAGATGAGGTATTATGTACACTATTTACATTATTCAGACTATTGTCCTCATCTTTGTCGCCCTATTTATTACAACATTTCGGCCCTTCAGTAACTGTCTATGTTTCTGAGATGAGGTATTATGTACACTATTTACATTATTCGGACGATTGTCCTCATCTTTGTTTCCATATTTATTACAACGTTTCGGCCTTTCAGTATCTGTCTATATTTCTGTGATGAGGTATTATGTACACTATTTACATTATTCAGACTATTGTCCTATTCTTTGTCGCCCCATTTATTACAACATTACGGCCCTTCAGTATCTGTCTATGTTTCTGAGATGAGGTATTATGTACACTATTTACATTATTCTGACGATTGTCCTTATCTTTGTTGCCATATTTATTACAACGTTTCGGCCCTTCAGTATCCGTCTATGTTTCTGAGATGAGGTATTATGTACACTATTTACATTATTCTGACGATTGTCCTCATCTTTGTTGCCATATTTATTACAACGTTTCGGCCTTTCAGTATCTGTCTATATTTCTGAGATGAGGTATTATGTACATTATTTACATTATTCGGACTATTGTCCTCATCTTTGTTGACGTATTTATTGCAACATTTCGGCCCTCAATATCAGTCTATATTTCTGAGATGAGGTATTACGTACCCTATTTACATTATTCGGATTATTGTCCTCATCTTTGTCACCATATTTCTTACAACATTTCGGGCCTTCAATATCAGTCTATATTTCTGAGATGAGGTATTATGTACACTATTTACATTATTCGGGTTATTGCCCTCATCTTTGTTGACATATTTATCACAACGTTTCGGTCCTTCAGTATCTGTCTATAATTATGAGATGAGGTATTATGTACACTATTTACATTATTCGGACTATTGTCCTCATCTTTGACGTCATATTTGTTACAACGTTTCGGCTGTTGTACGCTACAGCCTTTTTCAGGTGGTTGGAATGTCGAACTGAACCCTTTATTTCACTCACTAGGGTAGACTGTTCTAGTTCCACGTGCCATGTCTAATGGATGTCGGTAATCAGTTATTATCCTTATTTATTTATTTCATTCTTTATTTTATTTGTTTCATTCTGTGCTTTGACTCTTAATCTGAAAAGAAATACTGAATTTTTAAGATTTCTTGTGCTCACGTCACTAGAATAAACTCCTCTCGCAAAACTTATCCATTTCTTGACTGAAAAAATTCTATTCATTTCGACTAACCCCAAAACAGTTAAGAAAATGAAAAATGGCAGTTTGCTAGAAGAAGTGGAAAAGAGAAAACATACTGAATGTCTAAGAGAAAGCAAAAGTGGATGACATGATATTTTTTCATAAAACAGTCGGCCTCTAAAAAAAGATATAAACCAAATGAGAATGTCAATAAAATAAACTTGTCTGCAAAACGTATATCTGAAGATAATACATAAATGAAGCCAGACTATCAACAAAAAAGGTCTTTACAGAAATACGTCAATGAAACCTGATCTATAAAGTTATTTATTACAAAGAATACATATTCTTTTCCTACGAACCTATCCTAAAATCTTGTCGGTATTAAATTACCCATTGAAGTGTTGATATGCCGTAAAAAAATAAACCAATAAACGAAGCCATGCATTTGGCAGACACTATTAAATCTATATTAATGAAGTATTCAGACTTTGCTCTCTCAAGACAAAAATGATATGATATAAAGAATATGTATGAGCTCTTTGAGAAAACAAAAGTGGATGACATAATGTCATTTCTTTAAAAAGATGGCCTCTATCAAAAAATATCATCCAAATGAGAATGTCAATAAATTACTCTAAAAACTGTATATCTGAAAAGATTACAGGAATGAAGCCAGACTCTCAACAAAAACTGGCTTTACAAAAATACATCAATGAAATCTGATCTGTAAAGGTATTTATTACAAAGAATACATATTCTATTCATGAAAACCTATCCTAAAATCGTATCAGCGTTAAATAACACATTGATCTTGATATGCCGTAAAAGAAAATAAATCAGACCAAACCCAATAAGGATTAAGGTTTCTAAAACCTACTTCGCAACCTGATTGTGAATATAAGATTCATTTCCGTTTTCATATTGAGATTAGGATTCCTCATTACTTACACGATCCGTACATGGAGTTCTCAGCATCCTTCTGTAGCAGCACCTTTCATTTAATCTCCGAAGAGAGTGTTCTCTCTTCCTCACAAAAATACGTCAATGAAACCTGATCTACAAACAGATTGCTTACAAAGAATACTTATTCTATTCATATGAACCTATCCTAAAATCTTGTCGGTATTAAATAACCCATGGAGGTGTTGATATGCCGTAAAACAAAATAAACGAAACTATGCATTTGGCAGACACTATATTATTCAGTGTTCAGACTTTGCTCTCTCATGACAAAAATAATATGATATAAAGAACATGTATGAGCTCTTTGAGAAAACAAAACTGGATGACACAATATCACTTCTTAAAATAGTGGAACTTTACCAAAAAATACAAACCACATAAGAATGTCAATAAAATCAATTTTTGTACAAACTGTATATTTCAAAAGAATACATCAATGAAGCCAGACTCTCGAAAAAAAATAGTCGTTACAAAAATACGTCAATGAAACCTGATTAACAAACGGATATCTTTCAAAGAATACATAACGATATTATAGCGCTTATAAATATATCAATTTATAGAGTACTTTATAATTAGATACAATACGCTAGAAATACACCGGTATAAAATGCCACCGCTGTGCAATTTCTAGACGTTAGAAGGTGATGGCTGATGGTCAATCATTTCGAAGATATCTAGACTCAAATATGGCTAGGAACATGCCAGTTTGTATAGTTATCTATCAAGGTGACTGGGTTCGCCCCACCCATGACACGTCCCAATGTGGGTGGACAGCACAGGCAGTGAATCTTAAAAACACAAAAATTATGAATAATCAACATATAAAGCCCAACAGATTGTCTTTCAGATTCTGATTATAAAAAAGAAATTAATATGAATTTCAAAGATTTTTTGTGCTTAGGTTCCTAGAAAGAAACTCCGTTGGAAACACTTTACCATTTCTTGATTGAAAAAGTACAATCTATTAGAATTAAACTCCAAACTATTAAAGAAATTGAGAAATGAAAGTTTGCTTGTAGGATTGGAAAACGGAAAAGACGCCAAAAGTCTAACCTTCGAGAAAGCAAAAGTGAATGACATCATTTCTCACTAGTATGTTTAGGGTAACAGAGAGTGAGAGCAAGAGTAAAGATGCGTGTTTGAGAAAACGATAAAAAGAAATACGGAGATCACGATCAAGGTATCAGTAGATGTCGATTGACATTACATTTAAATATTTGAAGTTTAAAGCTATCAAGGAAGCCAGTAAGGGGAAGAGAGTTCCAGTGTCGGGAAGTTTAAGAGAAGCTGCTGTTGGAGTAGATGAGGCATTTACATTTAACTGTTTCGACAGTGAAAGGGTGGGACCAAGATGACAAGCTAGTAGCACGATTAAAATAATATACCTACATATTTTTTAAGCATTTCCCACCCCCAACCAATTCGAGAGTGCCACTAGCACGCAAATGGTTACAGTAAAGGAAAGTAAATGTAAACAGGCATGTTTGAGGAAAGAGCAAAGGTCGGGGATCAAGATCAAAGTATCAGAAGATGTCGATTGACATTACATTTGAATATTTGAAGCTTATAGCTATCAGGGAAGCAAGTAAGAGGGAGGGGATTCCACTGCGGGAATTGCGAGATAACAAACTATTGGAGTAGAAGAGACGGCTACATTTAATCGTTTCGACAGTGAAAGTATGGGACCGAGATACCAAACTAGTAGCACGCTTAAATTCCTGCAGTTTGTGTACCAGTGAAAGTAGCTCGTTAGAGCAGTTACCATGAAAATATTTGTAGAAAAGACAGAGGGAAGACACATCACGACTGTGAAAATGTGACTGTAAACCAGATACCAGATCAAGAACTATCACATTGCATATCCGACTCAGAGTTTATTATTTATAAACAGTTCTGATGAGTCATTGAACAATGTATACCCCTTCCTTGTTTCCGATTTCCTGTCAAGGATCCACTAACTTTTCAATGTCTAACTATTAGAAACCACTAGGTTTTAACTCGAAATATTCATTAAGCCACGTCGTCCTGGGTATGACGATAAACTGTATCCGCGTCCTGGGTAAGATCTATCTATCTATCTATCTATGTATCTATCTATCTATCTATCTATCTATCTCAGCCTGTTCATTATCTATCTATCTATCTATCTATCTATCTATCTATCTATCTATCTGTTCATTCTTATCTATCTATCTATCTATCTATCTATCTATCTATCTATCTATCTCAGCCTGCTCTTATCTATCTATCTATCTATCTATCTATCTATCTATCTATCTATCTCAGTCTGCTCTTATCTATCTATCTATCTATCTATCTATCTATCTATCTATTTATCTATCTATCTATCCAGTCTATCTATCTATCTATCTATCTATCTATCTATCTATCTATCTATCTCATCTATGTTCATTATCTATCTATCTATCTATCTATCTATCTATCTATCTATCTATCTATCTATCTATCTATCTATCTCAGCCTGTTCATTATCTATCTATCTATCTATCTATCTATCTATCTATCTATCTATCTATCTATCTATCTATCTCAGCCTGTTCATTATCTATCTATCTATCTATCTATCTATCTATCTATCTATCTATCTATCTCAGTCTGCTCGACAACAAGGTTGGCTGCCTTTCTATTGTACGACAAATCCGAAGCTTCTTCTTCTCTCAATACGTTAGTTCATCCGCCACATATATAACGTGCCCTTATTCCATAACCGTACACATGGTCGAATCCTCGTTTCCCTTGTATTTCCTTGGTAAAAACATTTAAATGTTATTCCCAATGGCGTCGCTACTTTGTCGAACCAACTCGAGAGAAGAATGTTTCACTAAACATAATATTATCGACCTCTCCATGTTTGCAGTCAACCGTTATCCATCCTACATATCCTCACAACCCGCAACTCTTACCTCCACTTGCGACCGTAAAACAAACTCATTAAATAACGTTCTACCTTGAGGGGCTCTTGGACTTGTTTTGGGTGAACAATAATTTAAATCACCGTATCTTTATAGAAATCGACAAAATTTCTTTAGCGGCGTATCAACCTTCTATGAGTTATTTAATAGCGATATCTAATTTTATTTATTTATTTTTAGGAGACTAAAATATTTACTGTCGCTTATCATCTTTACTTAATAGATAAGGCAGAGATACAAATCGCACGGGCGACACACGCATTTACCAAGAAACTCCAACACACCTACATTGTCGCAAGTTAACTGAATCATTGTAAGCTTAATTAAAAGCAAAGAGAAGAAATAAAACATGCTCATTTTTGTCAAATTGGCATTCCACCGAAAAGAAAGGTTTAATGTGAAATAAAATTTCAATAAAGTTAGAGAAAAGTTTCAAAGGATCGTCAGAAGTATAAAGAAGCAAAAAATGCTACAAAGATATTCATTATTGGCAGAACATCAGAATCAACGAAAGAACATATATCGTTTTCAGTTTCGTTCTTAACCCCGGACGGAGTCGTTAGGGCGTCGACGTGCTAAGTTGTCGCACAGTCTCCCCCATCTGGCGCGGTCTCCTGCCAGAGCCTGGGTCTCAGGGAATAGTTTCTTGGTTTACTCATTATGTGGCGTATCGTGAGTATTTTAATCTGGCTGAGTTCATCCCTCTCCAGGTTTAGACTACAGCCGTTGTCCTCCAAATATTTAGTTCGTCTTGTTGACGAACAGGTGACCTTTGTAGTTCATCTGAGGAATCATTCCACCCTGGCCGGCGACCTATGTCGAGGTGGTCTTTTGACGTGTTAACACCACCCACCTCACGCATGTTAATCCTACCAGTTGAAGAAGATCATCCGAGATACACCTGAGAAATTTAGGCGGGCAGTGGCCGTCTTAATCTGAAAATAAAATTTCAATAACTTTAGAGACCAGTATCAAAAGATCACCAGAATTACTAAAAAGCAAAAAATACAACGAAAAATTGTTCTTCGAGATCATTCGCAGAACATCAGAATTAAAAAAAACGAACGGACATATGCAACAAAGTAATACATTGGCCCAAGAAAAAGTTATTTTTAGCCAGGATAAACTATATCCAATTTCAAAATTTAATTACGTAATCCCAACTCTACATAAATAAACAGTATTTGGAACTAGTATAGAGTAGGTCCTCCATTTGCTAGTTGCAGTGTTTGTATTCGATTTTGCCACTTCTTTAACAATGTTTCTTTAAGGGTTGCCACTGACGTGATTTTGGTTGCAGCCTCTCGAAGTCTTCGGTCAAGGTGTTTCCAAACGTACTCTATTGAATTCATGTCATGATATTGGGCTACCCATGGCAGTGACTTGATTCCTTGCGATTTTTCCCAGGCCTTTGTTATTTTACTCGCATAACATGGCGCTACATCTTCTTGATAAAAGTAGACATTCCTGTCAATCTGATTGGTTTCAAATAGTGGGAGTAGCCCTTTCTCTAATATTTGACAGTATTTGGGACCATTAAACCACTCATCAACACGAATCAGCTCAGATTTCGATCCAAACCAGACAGCACCCCACACCATTGCTCCAGTCCCTCCATGTTTCACGGTTGCCTGTAGAAATCAATGTTTCAAGTTTTATTCTGATTTCTCCAAACATAAACCAATCACGAATTCGAATATTACCAGAATTTACTTTCCTCTCTCCAAATTATAGACTGCCAAAATTCACAATCTTTGCTCTCGAATTCTCTCACCCAGTCCATACGCCTGTCCCTGTTAACCTCTTAAATCAATGGATTCTTTCTTGCAACTCTTTTTTTGATAACCTAGTTCTTTCAGAGTCTTTCTCACCGCATATGGCGACATTTCCATGCTGTTGGCGACATTTTTGACGCTCTGGTGATGATTTCTGATGACTTCCTCATTCAGTGCTTTTGTCGTTCGCTCAGAAACGATGCTTGGCCTTCCTTAACGTTGTTCCACACAACAATGGCCTTCTTCCTTAAATTTCTTGACAATATTATTAACCGTTTGATGATTAACCTGGAAAAACCTAGCATTTTCCCTATTTGACTTGCTACACTGATGCCATCTTATTATTTGCCCTTGTTGAAATTCACTAATTTCCTTACTTCTACGAACTTTCATTGCAAAATATAAGGCAACTATCTTACATTGATGAGAGTAGATTGATACTAACACGGTATTGTCTGAAAAAAAAAAGATGAGATGTTATTACACAAGCCAAAATTGCTTTAATTAAGGGTTATTAAAACATATCATAGCCCACTCTACAGCCTCTTAATATCTGATTTCGTGTGATGTATCCTCATTTGGGTAAGCATGTTTCTGATCTTGGCGTCCAATCTTTTAATATCATTCAATTTAGATTTAATAATGTTGAATCTGTATGTTACTACGTGTATAGCTAAGGTGTTGATAGCCTTCATTTTATTGGCTCGATTAACTTCACTTTCTAGTATCAAACGCAATCTTCTATAATATTCTTTTCGGATCTTTTTCTTCATAATTAAATGTTGTATTCCGTTTCCTTCATTAATTCCTAAGTATCTGTATACACCATCTTGACCTAGTTCCTTAATTTTGTCTTTGATATCAAGGTCTAAATCCGTAGTTTTCGTTAGTTTACCGCCTTTGAAGGTGGCTTTTGCCATATTTGTCGATTACGAACTCCATCCTAATATCTTCGCTGAAGGTTTTGACAATACTGAATAGTTTTTTTCTGTTGCTTGCCATTCTTGTCAAGCGTTTTTAGATCATCAATATAGAATAGGTTATTCAATTTGCCAACCTTAGACATGTATCCGTATCTCCTGTTGTTCAGTAAGCAGCTGAGTTGCGCTAACGCAAAGCAGAAGACAAACACGAACAAATATATGTAATAACGTAATATTTAAGAAACAGTTAGAAACAGTTTACAATTGATTACTGTTGAGGCCTTCTCCCCTTTTTACACAAATGGACTCACCCAGTATATACATATACTACGGCTACGTGAAGACCCGAGGGAATAAGACCTCCGAGTCTAGCTGAGTCGTGATACAGTCTTTGACTGTAAGCGACGTCTGTCGAACTCTCTGCATTAGCAGAGAGGAACCCGGACGAAGCTTTGCCGAAGGACAAGGTTTCGTCCGGGGAGGTAGACAGGGCCTAAACCCGTCTAGGAACGTTCAAAGGCTATATTTTTGGCCGAACCTACGGGCTCGGAGATACCCACATTAAACCGGCCTTGTGCCACATTCAATCCTCGTGGATGGATCGATAAATACCGAGCAAGACTGAAGAGTCGAGTCGAGTCCAGAGTGACAGAGTAAAAGGTTGTAGGTAACCGGAAGAGTGAGGGTGAGGTAACAACGTTGTAGGAGTCACAGTGAGCGAGCACGTAGACACAATAAGAAGTCATACAGCGATACTTCAATACCAAAGACTGTATTGATATTTTGCTACTAACCCGTATTCCTGGAACTACTAACATGCTTTACCAGTTTATATTATTACGTTAGTACATTATTTTCATATATTCATTCCTGGCGTTTGTTATTTATTGGACCGGATTTCAACCCGGAATCCACAACAGTTACTAAATTGGTTACTAAAAACATAAAATACTGATGGCTCAGCCTAATATTGTCTTTAAAATCGTTTTAATTCGTCGTTTGTTTGAAGAGCGACGTTTTTCGAATAATTCGTCTACACGTTTCTAATTCATCCGATGTACAAGCTGGAACAGATGTGACTAAATTTAATCAGAACTTCTGTAAAATCTAAACTTTTAAGACGACGTCAATTCGGCTTATAGTTTTCCTAATCTGTGCAGTTTCCATTTCTTTGTCTATCATTGCCTCTCTGTAAAGGGTAATCAATTTACTCACGATGTCCGAATGGCTGCCTAATCCTTAACGCCTGAAGATTGAAGTCATTCCAGCGTGTTACTAGAAATTTCGGCCGATTGGTTACCAAGCCACTGATTGGCTGATGACGAGACCAGGTTGAATTAAATGTCAACCTATCTTTTTTTTTTGTTTCAGCACTGTATGAAATCTACTGACTTTCATTTAAGATCTTCCTCTAAAAATAAATCACCATCACGGTGATTATTTGAGGAATCAACAAAAACATTGAATAAGGATCAAATGAAAAAATATGAAGAAAGAATAAAATATGGACGAAACTAAAATAATGTCAAAATAAAAATCGATTTAAATCACAGGATATTATAAAAAAAATTGAAAGGCAAAGAGAACTTAAGAAAAAAGCTGATTGAAAAAAGTACGAATGAAAAAAAGCATTAGAATAAAAGGTTGAAAAACTAAAAGATGTGAAGGAAAAATAACAAAAAAGGGACAAATAGAGAAAGAATGAAAGAGAAGGGTAGAAGAAAATGTAGGAAAAAAAGAAGCTTAGAAACATTCAAACAAAAAGAAAGAATGAAAAAAAGAAGAAAAAATAGACTAAGAAGCAAAGGTAAAATGAAACAAAAATGAAAGAATGAAACAAAGTAAACTAGAAATTAAAAAACCTACAAAAAATAAAAGAAATCAAATAAAAGCAGACGATACGAAAAAGGCGCAAAATCGCAAACGATAGGAAAGAAACGAATTGAAACATTCAAACAAAAAGACCGAATGAAAGAAGCAATGAATTACAGAAAAAAATCAGGAAAAGCTAGAATGAGAAAAAAGCACAGAATGAAACATGAAATAAAGAAGCC